CCCGCTGGGCCCAGCTCTGCGGCGGGCTGCGGGGCCGGGGGAGCGGTGCCCTGGCGTGAGGCCCGGTCCCCGTGGTGCGTGACACAAGGCCGGGTGCCGGGTGGGATCCCCGGGGTGGGACGAGGCCTCGGGGGTGAGGCAGCGGTGCTTGGGGGCTGGATCCCCGAGGTGGGGTGGGGTGGGACCCCTGGGCAGCACGGTGCTTGGGCTGCCTCCCGGCCGGGCCCGCTCCATCCCCCTCGGCAGAGCTGCAGTCGTCGGGCTGGGGTGACCGGCTGCAGCACCCTGCGGACGGGACTGGGAGCGGGAGCCGGCGGCAGCGAGATGCAGTTCAGTCGGCCGCATCCCCGTGGTCCTCGTGTCCGCCCGGTGCGAGGGCTGAAAGCCATCGGAAGGCCGGACGGAGGCGTCGACCAGGGCCACGGGGCTCCCATGGGCACACGAGGCATTTGCTCGCCAGCCCGTGTCGTGTGGAGAGGGCCTGGGGTTCTGCCGGGCGGACGGTTTATCTCCTGATGATCAAAACACACAGGAATCCCCCGAGCTGCCGGCCCGTGGCTGCCACTGCTGTGTCCCATTCACAGTTACCTTGTGTGGGCCCTCGCAGTCTGGGTTTGGCCTCACGGGCTGATTTATCTGCCCTGTGCTCCACAGCTGCACTGCTACGGGTGCTTCGTGGATGGCTTCTCTATGAGCTCAGGCCTGAGAAGACTCAGACTCAGCCTGGAGAGCTTGCCCGTGGATGTATGTTTGTCACTCAGCTGTCACCACGATGACAGCCACACTTGAAGCAAGTAGAGAGCCATATGCAGACAGAAATCAGGCTTCTGTACTCGTTTTCCAAGGCTGCTTGGCAGGGAGATGCTCTGAGGACACCATGGTGCTGGAGAACACGATGTTCTTGAGAGAGGGCCTGGGGGCTCTTTGATGCCAAAGGGAAATGCTAAAGGTGTCACCCAAATCTGCCAGAAAAGGAAGCTTTTTTCTCTTTAAATGTGTGAAACAAGCCCCCTTGCCCTTAACTGCATTTCAACTCAGTCAGACCTTGACAAACTTGAGTCCTCCTTGCAGGGTAAGCTCAGTCCCTCTTCGCTGTCTGTCCTGAATGGCTGGTGCAGCGTGGCTGGCATCGGCTTATCGCCTCCCCGGTTCCCGGCTGTGCTGCACGGCCGGGGGATCATGATGGCCTGGCATGGTTGGGACATCCCAGTAACCCTGGTCACGGCACTTGGACACGGGCAGTCTCTGGCCTTTTGTAACGTGCTGAGACAGAGGTGTTGTCAGGAGTCGGCTCAGCAGAGCAATGAGCCCAAATGTGACCTGGAGTGGGGGGTCCATGGAGGACCACGTCAGCTGCTGGCTTATGGCCTGTGGGCGAAGCTGCTGGTCACTGCCTCAGAGCTCTGGTCACTGGTCAGTGGGAACTGGTGATCTCAGGTCTGGTCCCTGTCTTGAAGCCCCATGGCTGGAGATGTGACCAAACGTACTTGAAGAATAGATCCGTTTAATCCTGCTTCTGAGTCCTAATTTGGGGGCCAGGAGCCTGGGTCTTAGTGTTCAGTATGAGCTGCTAAAGAAAGACAATTTATCGCTTTCTTGGTGCCTGCTGCATGGCTAAAACCCCCTCGCAAACTGACGAGTGTCTCCCAGCACTGGCTCAGCACAATGTGGAGCGGGGGCTGCTGGCAGCTGAACATCACATCTAGCTCAAAGATATATTACATGTTCTAAAAATACATTGAAACCCCAGATATGAAGAACAGTAAATCTCCTACACAATTAATGGGGTCAAAAGCCATATAGAACCAGATGGAGCGTAAACTCTCCTCTGGGAGCTAGTTAGAGCTGCAGATGGAGTGGGAATATTGCCCCCAGGGAGACACAGGTCTATTGTGTTGCATCTGTTGGGCTGTGGATCGTTTATCCCGGAGCTTATCAGCTCCTTGTAGATCTCCTGCGGCCTGAGCTCTCACTGTGTAGGTGTTCCTGCCCTGCTTTGGGAGCCATCTCTGAAATACTATGTATTTTTGACAGATTATTGGCATCTGGGTGTGCTGCCATCTGTGGATCCTGGCAGCCATTACATGGTTTAGATGTTGCATCATTCTTGGGGGTTTTATTTAAGATAAAGGCAAATTGTTTACCTTACACTAGGTAGAAGGAATAATTTGCATTGCTATATTTCATTGTCTCTCTGGTGTTTCTAAAGCATCTGTCACTTTTGTATGTCCGTATGTGACAGATCAGCTGGAGAACTGGCTTGAATTTTCATTAAAATGTGAATTTGCTCCACAACCATCGTGAACAAGCAGATGTCTCTTCTCTCTCCTCTTTTTCTGATCAGATTTTCCTTCTCTCCCAGAAAAGGAACAGTCTCTAGCAGCCACATGGTGGTGTATCCAGACAGCAGAGAAGCAATTAGATATTTACGCTGCATCTTTCTGCTGGAGGCATTTCAAAGTCCTTACTACAGCAAAGGGACTGTTTATCGTATTCAATGCCAAACACTTGAACGGAGTCATTGGTACCTCCTGTCTTACGTCTGCTGGTGGGCAGACTGGTCTCTCGGCTGAGCCAGGATGCCCAGGACGCCCCAGAGAGTCAATTTATCAGCGTCGCTGCGGATTCACAGTGTCCATACAATATATCCCAGTTTGTATCCTCGCCACTGGACCCTCAGAGCCTTTGGTAAAATACCAAAAGAGGCGAGTGTGTGTTAGACACCAGAGCTAAGCCCATCGCCGGTGATGGGCTGAACGCTATCAAGGAAATGTTAACATCCATTTTTCGCCCTTCAGAGCAGGATTCAGAGCAGGCACCTGCAGTCTCGGGGTGGCTTCAGCTGGGCACTGGGTCTGAGCCTCCTGCACCCTTCTCACCTCTGTCCGTCTTTGGGTGCTCTGTCCCGACCTGCTCCTGCCTCCCTGCCTGCCCGAGGAGCTGCCTCGTCCCAGGGAGACGTTTGTCCCGAGCTCCCCACCAGGTGGCAATGCTGGTCTCTTTTGCAAAAGCATCTCAGCAGGTAGCATCGAGTTGCTGCCGTTTCTTTCATGCCCAGTGCCTGGCAAATAACCATCTCCCTCCGTCCTCTCTAGGCTGAACGCTAGCTCTGTGCACAGGAAAATCCCAGTGCGTGGGGCCATGGCAATGCCTGGTCAGCTGCCAGGTTTGTTTTAGGGTCAGCAGGAGGAGCGGAGAGGGCCCAGAGCAGTCTGTGTCCTGTGACACCTGCGTTACCATTCCTCAATCAAAGGCACGGCTCTGCAGTCATGCTTTGGGCTGGGGGTGGCTTCTGGAAACCACCTTGTCCCTTAGCAGTGAGTGGTACACACAGAGCATAGAGGGCCCCTGCAATGAGGAAACATGCTGATGGCAAGGGCAGGGGCTGCCCAGCATCGGCACTCCTGCTAGACCCGAGGATTTTAGGTGGAAATGCTCCCACATGCACCTGCGCCCTGTGACATGAGGCGTCGGCAGCTCAACCCTGTGTGCGGGGGGGTGTGGTGTGTGTCCTGCAACAGTGGCTGCAGGTGCTCACGGCTACTCCTGGGTGGGCAACCAGCCCTGGGTTATGGCAGGTTTCTCGCTTTTGAGTCCTGCAAGGCCATTTTGCCCTGTGCTCTGAGGTGGGGGGGTCTTGGTGCCCCTCCAATACACCTGGGAAGCCTAGCGGAAAGATAGGAATCGTCCTGGCATTTTGCTTTACTGCTTCTCCCGCAGCTCAGAAATGTCCTCCGGGCTAGGACATTCCTAGAAACCAGCTTTTCTCCTCTAACATCCTCTGTGTGACTGCACAGACTTGGATTCAGGATGAGCTGGATTTTTGATGTACAGTATTTGATCCCATTAATCAGCAAAGGCAGCGCTGACAGACGTCAGCCCTGGGGATTAACCTGCTCCTAGAAAGAGCTGAGGCATGGCCAGGGTGAGCCCAGCTGTCACGGGGCCAGAGGCAGCGCAGGGAATCCCAGACTATTTGCTCAAGTACCACATTCCCTTTCCTTACACAGCTATTCCTGGCAATTCATGTCACAAAATTTGCAAACCCTAGAAGTGTTCACTTACTGAGCAAGTCAACTGATCCCTGCCTACCTGAGGTCGGGGCCGTGGCCTGCAGGATGGTCTCTGTGATGCCCATCTGTAGGATGCTTCTAGGATGGAGGCACTGGCCATGCTGTAACACAGACATTCAAGGGAGGGTTTCAGATGCATCCCTCTCAACGCCGCACCGTCTCGGCACAGCTCTCTCCCCTGCGACGGCACAGCAAGGGCTGTCTGTGGGCATGCCCCAATTCCTGTCTAACCCAGTGGCCCCCGGCCACCAATTTGGCTCCGGGTGTATTGCAATTACTGCTTTCTAATGGTGTTTTTTTCACCTTCCCTCCCACTGCTCAGCTCCCTCTTCCCCTGACAGGGGCCTTCCTCCCCACTGCTCAGCCTTTGCCTTTCCCAGCACCGGCTGTGAAACCTCTCCTCTCCGCGAGGTGCCAGGAGAGCTCTAAGCACCGGGGCTCAGCCCAGCCCAGCCAAGCTGCTGGGGCTGGCAAGCAGGCACAAGCCTGGCTCACAGCCCGGCTCAGCCTCTCTCCTTGCCTGCACTTGTGCACAAGCCATGGGGGGGCAACGCAGCTTCCCCCCTCCCCAGCTGGGAACGTCCCCATGGCTGGCCCCACGCTGTGCCCACCGGCTGGGCGCTGGGGAGTCCCAGTGGGGTGGGGGGCTGCAGCCTGAGCTGCTCTGTCCCTCTGGGCTTGGGCCCAGCTCCTGTGTGGGGGGGTTGTCCCAGGGAGGGTTATCCAGGGGGCTAGGGGATCCCATGGGTTTCCTGCAGAGAAGGGGTGCTGTACCCTCTGCTGCAGCCCCAGCCAGTTCCTGTGTCATTCCCATGGGGCCAGGATGAGGCCTGTCCTGCACCCACGGGGATTTCCCCCCGGCCGAGA